ACGGGCAACTGCGGACCCGCATGTTCATGCACGTACACGTGCGCGTGCAAACGCGGATGCGTCGTGCACACTGGCGTATACACGTGAGTATGTGCACGTCGTGCCCATGGCAAGACAACGTAGATGACACAAACACCTAATATGAACACGCACACGGTCTACATTTAGAAACTCGACGACGCTCAGCATCATGCCGTCAAACGTCAAGCTAATGGGAGTTGGCTTGTTTCATGCCAGGTGCCAGGTACGCCACTTGACTGTCAGAGGACGGACCTCGAATAGATGTCTCGAGCTATCCCCATCCCTCCTCCACCGCCTCTTTCTTTACGTTGGACAAACATTGGCTTGCTTGAACCGTCGCGTCTTGGTGTCAACGATCCGAGAAAAAAAAACAGTTCGCAACGCAACGCTCGAGAAAAGAAAGGCCAGGCCCCGGTACCACAGTCGCGCGCGTCGGCGAGAACCAGGACACGCACGGCTGCTGGGAGCAGCAGAGATGCAAGAGTATGCTGCAGCGCCTGGGCTTGGCGGCAAGGACCACCCCCCCCGCCCCCGCATCCATACCTCCGCTCCGCCGCCTCCTCCTTCTCCTCCATCCCCCTGCTCCTTGCCACCCCTCCCTCCATCTCCCGCTCCTCGCTCCGCCGGCCACGCCCGAACCCTGCCCCCACCAGCCATCGATCCCCCCGAATCGCTGGGCGGCGGGGGTGGGGCTCGGCCTCCGCCGCGCGCTCGACGAGCACTCCGAACCGTGCCTTCGCCGCCCGCCGCCCTGCCTCTGAAGCGCGGAGCGGCGAGGGCGGTGCTCGGACTGCGACGCCGATCGCTCCTCCTCTCCCTCTCCGCCCGGCGGCGATCGGCTCAAAACTCCTCCCCGCCCGTCCTCGCAGCACGACCGCAGCTTGTCACCGAGCTCCTCCGCCGTGACCTTCCTCGCGCCACGGCGGCGGGAGGCGCGGGCCGGCCTCGAACGCATCCCTATCCCTATGTTGCCCCCATCGTACTTAAGGAACACATCCCAAAAATAAGTTCGAGCACCCGGAAAAGTGTCGATAGAGTGTCGAAAGAGTGTCGAAACAATGTCGGACGAGTGTCTCCCAGGGTGCGACACGCGAAAACCCTTGAGTGAGGGGGTACTTGTCTGGTGCTAGAAATTCTTTCTGGTGATCAAGGCTAAAGTAGGTTGGAACATCATAACCCTATCCCTGAGACCGACCAGCTGCAAGGGCCGTGGCGGTCTCGGGGGAGGAGCCCTCGGAAGCAGAGGGAATCCTGAGGATTGGCATCGTGATGCAGCGATGCCAATCGTGGGGGTGTGGATCTATACTCCAGGCTGGCACTGGGTGGGTCATCCACGCTGAAGGGGCCCAGGGACACACGCACACACATCAATACACACATACCAAGATATCCCAATATTTTTCTACAGTTTCTGGAGTTTCGTGTTCCCCCACACTGCCCATATTTCCAATTTTTTTCCGGGAAATCGACGATTAATTGTGTCGGTGTGTTTTTCCCCTCCCGACACACGAGCACTCATATTGTTAAGTCGGGCCTGTTCCCCTACAGGATGATTTTCGACGACAGATAAAAAATAGTCAAAACATATTCCAAACTGGCCAAGAGTAGTAGAAAAATCCTCCCAAATGCATGTGTTGACTGATTTTTGAATATCCCTCCTGTAGAGGGACAGGCTCGACTTAACCACAATGCCCAAAGACATATGCGCGGACGAGGGAGGGCCAGGGGACGTAGTGAAATACGGCAGGCTCGAGCGCCCGCGCGCGCCAAGGCTTTCAACTCCGCGTCGATCCTTCCACCTGGAACCGATCGCGGCCCCGATCGTCCGAGGCCGAATTCCGTCGGGTAACAGTGGCGCTGCCGTGCCCCATCGGTGCTTCGGCGTCGCAAGGATTCGACCTTGAACGCCTCGGCTGGCGTCGCCAGCGTGCCAGTGCCGCACGAACCTAGTCAAGGGGGGCATGACATCTGGGGAATAGCGTGGCACTGGTCACGAGTACCCTCCCCCCCCCCGCCTGGACGTCCCCGAGAGCCAGAAAATAGACGAGCGCGTTCCACTACTCGCAAAGTCACTACTCGCGAATGGCCTGGATCCCCGCGGGGGATCCACGATAAATTACGTAAAAGCAGACATGTGTTTTTTTCGGACGCTTGCGAGTAGGCACTTTGCGAGTAAAGGAATGCGCTCGGCGAGAAAAGAAAGCGGGCGGAGAAGTCCACAAGTCGGGGGCTTCCTGCTTCAAAACGTCGTAGCCACTCTCCCAAGGACAGGCCCTCCTTGCGCCCGCGGTGGGGGCCGGGGCGGTCGGTAGATTGCAGCGCATAGGTTGCACCACATAGATTGGCCCACACATATTTCACATGTTTTGTTGTGCCTCACCGGTCGCAGCACAACCACTGCGCAGTACAGCTCGCACATCACAAGTTGCACATCATAGCCTGCACAACGTAGATCGCACAGCCTGGGTTGTGCCACTTGGACCGCCGTAAATTATTTGTACAACAGATGATGCTTGAAACGCACACGCACATGTTGGAGTCGACGCTGGCTAAAATACATGTACTGTGAGCGAGTCGGTGGTGAAATCCGTGGAACCTCTAAAGTTCGGAATGTGTTCTGGGTAAAAGGGCAAGCGATGTCGCAATTCACTACTCGGGAACTTCGCCAACTGATGACATAACAGAACATAGCATAAACTTGTCGCTTAGGGTCGCGTTCGTTCATAGAGTGCGATCGCGGATGAAGCGCCAATCGAGGGTCCGAAGCTTTAGCATGAAGCGTGAAACTCCGTGTGTGGCGATACAGCTTCGCTAGCAGCAACCACTCTGAGAATGAAGATCAACTACGTGGTTGACTAATTGCAGCGGGCATGTGACATGTCGACGACGTGGGCGTGCTAGTGATTCGTCATGGATGGTGATGCGATAAATTTCGGCAGCACCATATTCTGGGGTTTCGTCATCGTGGCTTCGTCCACGATGCCAAGCGATGGTGATGCCAAGTCGCTGGCCACATCATAATGTGACGTGATATGCGGACGTTGTGTTTCGCAGCGAAGAGCACCAACAGTGTTTCCCATGAGCTTCTTCGCGCTGACGCCTAGAGACAACGAATGCATGACGTTGTTCCGGAGCGGGTCATCCACGTCGCCGTACACACGACAATATGAGCAACCGCGAATGCCTCTTTCGGTCATTGAAAACATTGGCTGCGATCGAACCAAAACGACTATGTCAAAAAGCATGAACACGTTCAAGAGCGTGAAGGGCCCGCTAAAGAAATAATGCAGGCTCCAGGGAGCAGAGCAAGTGTCCGAGGCCAGCGCGAACACTCAGCTGCATTTCTGGACAGAAATGATAAGTGTACGTCTTTTACTTCGTTATGCGCGCCCCGAGGGAAGGACAATCGAATGATACTGTTTCGAATTCGGCCGTCGGTGCGCTCCCTGTGGTACCTGGCACAAGCCGGACAGGCGCCATTGCCGTGAACCTTTTCGTGACCACCATCGACCTCTTGGCGCACTTTCATCGACGTGGAGCCGGATGCAAATCCAGCCACAGTCATGCCAAAAGTAGTAAGAAGTTTGGACCACTGAGCCTCGGTACGTCGAAAAAGAACGAAGGTGTCGTATGCTTTGTAACGTCGGCCGAGTCATTTCCAGTGAGTGGACGAGCAAGGCGCCATCAATCAGCAAGCTGACGAGATTGCCACGCTGTTTGATGAATCTTGATGTGGTCAGGGTTTGACTCGTGCCACGTACGTTATTTGGATGCGTAACATAACTTCGGGCTAAGACGATGATGGGCGAAATGAATGAGAAACTGAGAACGAAATTGCCGACCGGGCTTGCTTGAGCATCGGCAGGTCGGCATAAGGTGAGAAGATGATGGCGCCTGTGAACAGATCAGGAAAGAGAGAGAGAGAGAGAGAGACAGAGAGAGAGAGAGTGAACAGGCACAACAAACAACAAACTAATAATATGAGAGGGAGTGAATTGACGAGCGCTTGTGCAACGGCTCTCTGAAGTGCTCGGAAGTACTTCATTCGTGTGCATACACACGTGCTCGATAGCTTGAACGGCAACCTGTGCCTCACGGCTCCTGCATTCGACCTGGCGACCATGTCTCGTAGATCTATGCCATGTGTGTGTCCAGCTCAAATGTATCCCAAATGGTGTGCCACAAGCACGACGACATGGTAACGATGAAAACGCTCAGCTACTTAGCGACCACACCTGCAATGCATGGCCAATACGAGCCGATGCATATCATGAATGGCTAGGTGACTCCGTTTTGCGTGAAATGCTTGATGTCAAAGCATGTGATCCGAATGGCCAGGTCGTGTTTGACAAGGGGTGGTGGGGAAATCCTGAAACGCATTGGGGAATTATCCTGGCGAAGGACCACTCATATGCGTGTGTGTCGCAGTTGTGAGAGTCGTCTTCGGTGGAGCTCCCATTGGGGCCACAACACGTGTGAGGCGTGTACCGACGTGGGTCGGGCGGACAAATGTGGGCCCTCCTGCTGGGACCTTCGGTGGAGCTCCCTATGGGGCCCACGAAGCGCGTTAGGGGTGTGCCGACATGGGTCGGTCAGACGCATGTGGACCCTAACATTGGGACCTTCGGTGGAGCTTTCTATGGGTCGGGCGAACAGATGTGGACCCTCCTGCTGGCGTCTTCGGTGGAGCTTCCCATGGGGCTACGAGACGTCTGAAAGGGTGTGCCGACATGGGTCAGGCGGACGCATGTGGACCCTCCCGCTGAGGCTTTCGCTCTTGGAGCCACGAAGCGTGTCAGGGGTGTACCGACATAGGTCGGTCAGACGCATGTGGACCCTGCCACCGGGGCCTTCGGTGGAGCCCCCTGGGAGGCCACGAAGCATGTGAGGGATGTGCCGCAATGAGCCTGGCGGACGCATGTGGATCCTGCCGCTGGGGCTTTCGGTGGAGCTAGCTCACTATGGGGCCACGAAAACGTGCGCGTGGTGTGCCGACATGGGTCGAGCAAGACCCTGCCACTGGGGCGTGCGATGGCGCTCCCTATGGAGCCACGAAGCGTGTTAGGGGCTGTGCCGCAGTGGGTCGGGCGGACGCATGTGGAGCCTGCCACTGGGGCCTTCGGTGGAGGTCCCTATGGAGCCACGCCACTGGAGCCTTCGGTTGAACTTCGTATTGTCCGCATCGCGAGACATCGTGCGACCGATACGATGATATGTTTCAGACTCCCTCACTCGAGAGCACCTTTAATGAACATGCTGGCTAAAGCCGGAACGGCTACGTACATAAACAAACTATACAATGTCTGTCACACAGCTGGCAACAAGCGCGCACGAATTGGGGGGGAGTGGGCAAGGAGAGACATCGGGACCACTTTTCGTGGGACAGACATGGATCCATCCCCTTCATTCCCCTCAGCGATCTCTAGACTAGCGTATACGGGACCGGAAACCAGGGACTCGCAGCCTGGGCCCTTGGACTGGTTCTGGATGGCTCGCTTCGAGGCTGATTTCGTCCTGGACTTGAGGTGCTCGTTTAGGGTTCTTTCGCTCATGTGGAGATCCTCGTCTATGAGGGCGAGGGTGCCCTTCCTGAGAAGGTCGTTCAACGCCAGGTTCCCCTTAGCTACGTCCGCCTTAGTTAAACAGTCGGCGGGCATGAGTCCGTGCGGGACCCATCTGATTTGTGATCCTAAGGAGGAGAGACTATCCCTGATGACTGCCATCTCTATGGCGTTGCGCCGGTCGGCCACGGTGCCGGCACTGTTGCGAGTCAGGACATCGAAGACCGACTTTGCGTCGACGACCGAGACTGACGACACACCCTCACTAAGAGAGCAATCGCGGGGGAGGACAAGAGAGAAAGGCGCCTGACTGAGGTGCCAGTCGGGCTTGCTCACGTCGTTGAAAAGGAGATCTCTCCACATTATCTGCAGCCACTGAGACTCTGCTACCGCAGAAGACAGGCTCAACGTTTCTGCGGCAGCGGTAGACGAAACGGCACGCTTGATCCTCTGGGACCTCCAAGAAAGCAGTGACACTTTTGCACGACTGTTGCTTCTGATGCTGCTGTCCGCGGCAAGCACAAGAAAAGCGCCTTGCGCTCCACCTCGCCGAGCTGATCCTGGACCTCCAGCGTCCGATATCGTCACGAATGTGACTGACACCGGATCAAGCTGCCAGATAGTCAAACGCTGACTAGCAGTCGACTTGAGATACTTGCACGCTGTAATCACAAGCTGGGCGTCAGCGACCGTCGGACTCGGCAACGCCGCACTCTGCAAAGAAGCACAGCCCGACACGTCAGGCCTCGACTCCCGAGCGACCCACTGGACCTGGGCGATCATGGTTCTGTAAAGCTTGACCTCACTCGGGGCCAACAGGGAGGAAGGGTCCGAAAGACGGGATTTCTCGAGCCGCATCGGCGTGAGTTGCTCCTGGATGTATTTCTCCTGATCAACGCATATTTTATTATCATGCTGCTTGACATGGCGGCCCGCGTAGTCGGCCTCGCCCTCTTGCCACTTTCCGAAGTGAAACCTGGCTTGCATCTGCTCCTTGAGCGAAGAGCTCATTAAGGGATGAACTGCCACCAGGAGGTCGTCGACCTCTATGAGAATGACCGCCCTAAGCTCACCCTGGCCCGATCGAAGTGACCACTGGCAGGGGTCTAAGAGTGACTTACGAAATCCGATCGAGCTGAGCCAGTCAATTAAAATTCGGTGCCAAAGGACCGGGGCATCGTTGAGCCCGTAAACTGGGGCGATAAGCTCCACAAGTTCTCCCGGGGCCAGATTTAAACCTTGACATGGCTCGCAGTAAATGGCCCCCTTTGGACGATGCAACGGGTCACTCTGACAGAGAGCGTTCTTTGCGCCCGCAATCTGAAGCTTCCAGCCTAGCGAGGCGACGCACTGTAACGTCAAAAGAACGGTCTCGCTCTGAGGAGTGGGAGCGTACACGTGAAGCTCGTCCGAATCTGGGTCTTGATGGCCCTGCACGCACCATCTTGACTTTGCCAAGGGTTCCGAACCAACTCCTTCTTGGGGTTTGAAGCGCCTCACCATCCTGGGTCCAAGGGCACGATCGGGGCACCGCCTTCTGATGATAGAAGCCTCCGAGGCCGGTACTACGCGCGCCGCTCCTGAGCTCAAAATGGCCCGCCCCCCACTCCTTAGCATCAGAAAAGTCAAACAGAGCCCTCTCGCGAGGGGATAGGTTTTTCAAGGATACCTCCGCTCCTCTGAGAGACGGAGGCGCAGCATTGCTGGGTCCCCGGCCTGACTGGTCGGCTGCAAAGACCTGAAACGGCTGGGGATCCCGGTAAAAGTCGGGCGAAAGCGAAAACCGCGACCACAGTTCCCCCCATGGCTGCTCTTCTTGCCCCCCGTCCTCTGTCTGAGCCGACCAAAAGGCGAAACTAGTAGTCGGCAAGCCGGAACAAGGCGTGAAACCCCTTTCGACGTGTCCAAAATGGCCCGACGCCGACGCCCCTTCTGACGGCCCGCCTCTCTTGGGCGAACGTGAGCCCCCTCTGGCGGCGGGCTGAGGAGCAGGAGGTTGCGGGGGCTGAACCGCCCTTTGTCTTAAAATGCACATCGGAACATCACTATCTCCCGCGCCTCTAACGATCGGCCAGGGAGGAGGAATGGTCCCAGGCCTAGCATCAAACTCGGCAACCTGGTCTTGCACTCTCCCGGGAGCTGGAGGCCCCATCTGTTCGATCGGGGCGACCCTGGGGCGGGTCGGCTCGGGCTCGGGGGGATTGACAAGAGGCCTGCGGGGCTGAAAAGACGCCTGCCTGGGCCCTGCGGCAGGCTGCGAATGGGCCTGCTGAGGAGGGGGAGCGGAGGGAACGGAGGGAGACAAACAAGGAGGAGAGGGAGAGGGGTCGCGGGAGGACGAAGGAGAGAGGAGATCGGGAGACTCCTGGCTGGCCTGGCGCGTCTGCCTGCCCGAGGCCGGCGGCTCGGTGGACAGCTCTTGACCTGGGGGCAAGGGCTCTGGATCGATCACGACAACCTCGGGGGCCGGAGCCTCAGGAGGCCCGGGAGGAGAAGGAGGAACCGGGGAACGCGGAAGCTCGGACGGATCGATCCGGGGGATGGGTTGCTCCTGTCTCGGAGGAGGATCCTCGTCGGCCTCGGAAAGCTGATCCCAGGCCTCAGGGGGTGGAGGCCCTTCTGACTGAACGTCCACCGCGCCGACCCGACGCCCTGGAGAAGCCAGCTCTCTCCTTAGCCGGTCGAAGGCGACCGAGTCAAGTAACTCGCCTCCGAGAGCTTCCTCCTTGGTGGCGGGTCGAATCTGGTCCTCGGAGACCTTTAAAAGCTTGGCTCGCATCGCTATCCACAACGTCGAATTCTGCTGAAAAACTACAACTCCTGGTCCGGTCCATTTGCTTCTCCGGAGATTCTCGGACCGAGTCTGGGCGCTGGCGCGACGCCAGACGTAAACCCAGGTGCCTGGATTGTACTGCCTGTCGGAGTGTTTCCTGGCCCGGGAGGCGTATCTGAGACGATCTGCCACGTCCAGAGACATCATGGCCTTGCGAGCAGCCTCACGAAGCGCATGCTTCCAGGCATAGGTGGCCGCAGCGGTGTCTCCATCCGACGTGCCCCTTGCCACGTCGTCGGTGCCAATCTCGTCGTGGGCATCATCAGACAGTATTGACCTCGGCAGTCTGGGATTTTCGCCGGAAACGTGTTGAAACGGCGAGAAGCCGCCTCTGTGTGAGAAGCGGTTTTTCGCAGCGACCGTCTCGCACAACAGATCTTCCATCTCCTCGAGATTGGCAGGATGGGACAACAGCGCTGCTTTCGACAGAGCATCCTTGATAAGTCCTCCGTGTCTCTCACATCTACCGTTCTCGTGAGGGGCCTCAGAATTGCAGATATGATGCAGAACTCCTATGTGCTCGAGACCTCTTGCAAACGATCCTGCAAATTCGGAACCCCCATCGCTTATCAAAACCTCTGGAATTCCGTACGGACGAACCCAGATACGACAGAAAGCGGACCAGACATCCTGAGAAGTGGCCCCGGGGAGAAAAGCACAGGACTGGAGGTTCGACCCATGATCGATGACGTTCAGCACCAGGGGGGCCTGTTGATCTACTTGCACGTAGAATAGATCCACGGCAATTATCTTGTTAAAACGATAAGTTCTGGGCTCTCCTGCGCCATCCTGGGCGCCTGTGAGACTCACAAGCGGCGCAGCGAAACTTCGAGCGGGCCCAAAGCAACGCGTCTCCTCGCGCCTTTCCGATTTTCAAAACTCGAAGAAACTCGGGGAGAGACGGGTGTCCTAGATTGACGTGAAGCTTCTCAACTTCTCGCTTGAGCTCCTGTGAGAGCTGGGGGTCCGCGGGATCGCAGGGTGGGCCTCCCAACTCCCCTATTTCATCGACCAGATCGTCTTCTGGGACACCTCCGGAGTCGGGACCGCGGGGTTCTCCTTCTGGAATCTCTGGGGGAAGAGCGGCCTGCGGGTAGGAGTGAGACTGGTTCGCCGTGTCAGCGACGACGTCAGCTACCTCAGCCGTCTGATACGAACAGGCGCCTAGAGTGACACGAGACCAGGCAGCCGCCTCGATGCCCTCGGCGAGGGCACTCACGAGCGCAGGCGGGTAGTGCTGAGCTGCCTTCGTCCTGCCCGATCCCTCCAATGGCACGTGCGCGTGATCCCCTTTGCACTTCCTGGAACACTTGTCTAGAACATGCTGAGAGTTGGAGAGAAAAGAGGTGGGCTTGCGAGAGAGACCCTGAGGAGAGACTGACAAGCCATATTCACACTGATCACACCTCGCCGAGCTGACTCCTGGTTTCTCGGACAAGACTCGCATGGAGTAAAGCTCCCAAGACGACGCCGTGAGAGGCTGTTCCAGCCAGAAGAGCCTGGCCTTCGATATTTGATATTCGGCGACCTGAGCGCACAATCCTAAGAACAGAAGGCCCTCCCCTCCAGTCTGCGTGAGCTTATCTGGACTCATTCGATGCCAGTTGCTAACTCGAGACGAGCGACACTGAACGCAGTGCAAGGGGGAGTCATCAAAACAATTTCGGGGCGATCTGACTCCAGCGTTTCCCACAGCTTGCGACGATCCTGGGCTTTGCGAAAATCGAAGCCCGTCTTCAGGTCCATGGCCTGAGACACCGGAAACCCTCTCCGAGTGAGCTCCTGGGAAACCCGAGGGGGGGGGAGAAAACCTCAAGGACCTGGGTGCATCTCTTCTGCCTGCATCTCTCGATCAGTTGCCTGCGAACCTTCCTGCGAGTAAGTCGAATGCGGGTGCCTTCGAACGTCTTGAGCAAGACATCCCTAACCTTTCGAGGGACCTGAGCTAGGGGAGGGCTGAGAGGACGATCAAAACGTACCGGGGAGGAGATTAAGGCCCAAGACGACGGAATCCGAGGGGGAGACCGACTAGGATCCTCTAAGGCCCCTGTGAACTTCTCCTGCTCGACGGCTGTCCCGAAAGCTAGAGGTAGCTCGCTAAGGCCATCTGAGGCCGCCTCCCAGACTTCAACTCGTAGATGTCGACGCTGAGCTCCCGAGAGAGCCGAGGTTAAGGCCCGAACGGACAGTCCACTCCATAGACGATCGAGGATGAGTTGATGATGAGACAGTTTGTCATCGTCGACCCTGATCCCGATCTGCACCCTGGCGACGTCGGCCGGTAGTCCCAGCCGGGTGCTAGAAGAGCTGGCATCTGCGATCGCGAGGTGCCCCAGAAACGACGCCAGCTCGCCCGACTCGAGCTGGCGCTTCGTCCAGCCCGCCTTTTCGGAAAGATGATCAAGATCGATCGAGCTACCGTCTGACGTGTCCCAGACTCTAAAATGTCCTTCTCGATCGTAAGGAACCGGAGCCCTCTTAAATCGGTTCACGATCGTGGAAACAGATCGCATTGAAACCTTCTGATCTCTGGCCGTGCCAAAACGATCCTGAACGTCCGATAAGATCCGATCCCTAGCCTCGTGTCGGAGGGAGGCTAGCGTAAACATCGTAGGACACAACGCCTCACTTCGCTGAGTACCTTGCGCATCGCCTCCTCCATGGCCCTCACGTTCTCGGTGCGCACCTCCTCGACGATCGCCTCGCGGATATCCTGCACCCCCTGGCGCTCCTGAGCAAGCACGTTCCTGATGCTGTCCATCATGCTGCTGACGTCCGCGCGCGTGATCCTCGCCGAGGGAGGCGGCTCGAGCATCCTGACCCACGTCCCGCTCGACGGAGTCTTCGGTGGTGACTTGTACCCGACCAGGTGAGGATCTGCCGGAGGGGACTTCACTGCCATCGCGCGGGCCGTCGAGTAGGAAGTGCACGGAGGGGCCTCGTCGATCACCTCCAGGTCCCCTGCCTGAGCCTTGGGGGCATTGACCTTGGGGACTGCCCCGAGAGCCCTCGAGATCGGCACCGGGCGGGTGCGGTAGGCGGGCTCGTGCGGCTGTGGCTCCGGCTCCATCTTGATCTCCAACTTGGCTCTCTGGGCAAGTATCTCGGCCTGCATCTTGATAGCCTTGCGGTCTTTGCGCTCCTTGCCCCGACGGCCACGAGCCTGAGCTGCCTCGAAGATCTCCTGAGGGGTGTTGCGGCGGATCCAGAGGCGGTTCTTGCACACCCAGCAATGGCAGTGGTGCGCGACTCCGTTCTGGCCGGAGCGGCGGCGGTGCACTGGATTCTCGCACGTGTCCGGAGTCACGTTGGGGCCCTCGTCTTCGAACTGGTTCGGGTCCACCACTGGCGACAGCGCGGTCATGATCCTCGAGCTGGCGCACGCGTTGAGGAACACGATCGTCTTGAGAGAGACGCGACGCCAGGCCATGGCAGCCTTCTCGATGAGGTAGCGGCCCTCGAAGAACATCTCCTTGTCCACTGGATCGAGCACCTCGTCGTGCACCAGATGCTGGAGCTCCGCGTCGCGCCGCGGGTCTGGCATCTCCTCCCAGTTCTCGGCCATCTCGAGATCCGATCCGCCCTCCTCCTCGACCTGAGAGAGGCCGTTCACCGCCTTGCTCGTCTGGCGGCGCAGAGCCGACAGTCGACGCAGCGGATGCATCGTCGAGTTCGCCTTCCTGATCGCCCGAGCCGGCATCGTTTACCTGACTCTGAGAGTGGTCTGGCTGACTGGTTAGACTTGGGGCTGGCTCCCTGAGTCGCCGGCCCGGCTCGAGCCTAGAGCAACTAAGGGTAGTGGCGGTGATGTCCCATCCAGGACCCTCGAATCGTGGACCCGCTGTCGGAACATAGAGAGAGACGGAGGGAGCGAGGAGACCTGATTAGCAAAAACTGCGCCCTGTCCCTCCCTACGGTCCTGAATGACGAAGGGCGGGAAGCGCTTGGCGAGGTCGTCACTGAGCTTGAAATCCTCGGGCGGACACCCCGCCAGAGATACTGCACGATGCCCTGATGGCAGGCGATGCAGCTCCAGATCTCGACGACCATCGCGGGCCCCGACCGACATCGTGCCCCTGCTCATGTCTACTTTGGCCTTGAGAAACTCTAAAAACTTGGCGGGCAAGAGGGATGGGCACGCGTGTGGTAAGATAAGAAATTCCACCACCCCACATCCGCACATCGTGACAGGCACCGAAGCTCGTCCAACCGGCTTGACTCTGCCCCCAACTCCGCATGCCGGAGGAAGATCTGCTACGTCGTAGGACGCGTGGACCTCGTAGCCGACATGGTTCAGGGCCTTCCTGAGGTCCTCGAGATTCGGTTCTCCTACCAGAGCTGATCCCGCAGCAGTGTCCACAAGAGCGCAGTCCATCAGGTTGTCCAAGGTCAGCTCCCGCGAGACCTCGGCCAGGACGAGCTCGAGCTGCTCGGCGTCGTCTGGCAACCGCGCGCCGCCGATCAGATCCCCGACGCACGTCGGGAGCTCGTCCTCGGACACTGCGAGGCAGGTGGGGCCGTCCAAGCCGCGCACGTTGAAGTAGAAACTGTTGGTCTTGTCCGGCTTCGACTGCGGCTTGCTCTCCTCCTCAAGCCTGTCCTCCTTCGACCTGTAAGGGTTGCGGCAGTCCTCTTTCCAGTGACCCTTCTGCCCGCAGTTCGTGCACCTGGATCTTTTCTTTAGCTCACTTTTGCCAATCTTCTTGCCGCGACGCCTGTCGAAGAAGTTTCGATCTATACGACGAGCATTCTGCATGTCCTTCGACTCTTTCCAGGTGCGCTTGCGCTTGGTCTCTACGAGTTGGGCAAAGACATGATAGGCCTCGTCCTCCGTGAGGTCCTGCTGATCCAACGCTATCAGAAAGCCATCCGCCTCGGACTCACTGAACTCGGTCTCGAAGAGATCCACGACTGTATCGTCCTTCGTCTCGAACGTCGTCTCTTCTTCTTGTTCCTGCATATACGTCCTTCCTGGAGGCCTGGACGAGGTGGCCGCCGGCGGAAGCACAGCCTGACCATTCGAGACGTCCAGATAAAGAAAAGCAGCCCGTATGGATAGGAAATCCTTCTTTCCACAAGCCAATGTTGCAAGATTGATTCGATTTTGATGAGAAAGCATAGCTCCTTCTTCGTAGTAGCGAGTGAGACCTGCACTCTCCGCCTGCAGCAATTGTCCGTCACGTCGTATCACGTAATCTGTCAGGCTTTCGCCCTTCTTAATGACATAGTCGAATAGTGCTTCGTTTTGCATCTGCCGATCTTTGTCGCCGGGTCTCTCTCCCGACAGCAGAGTCAAATGCTCGACAAACTTGTCGAGTCCCGACTCCGTGGCCAGTGATAATCTGATCGTCTTAAACTTGGCCTGGAGCTCGAGAGGAAACGTCTCAAGCACTCGATCAGCTTGCAGACTAGTCTTCAATGCCGTCCTGCGCGTCCACGCCCGCAGGTTATGAATGTATATGTATAAATGCTGCATGCCGGGCCAGGTCGGCGGGGCTGAGTAGTCCCTGGACTTCTCTTCTTCCCAAGAGCTTGCGTTCCATGACCTGGACCACCATGAGGTGCTGTCGCCTCGTCCATCTCGATATCGGCCGTCTTCATCACGCCCTGGGTCGCCTTTGGGCCTGCTGAGGTCGGATGCGTTGTCCTTCCACTCGACCTTCTTCCAGTCCTCGGGTTTCCAAGAGTGTACGTCCTCGTCGGTGTTGGAGCTCTGCCACCAACCAGGCGACCACTCCCACACAATTTTGGCTGTCCAGCCCCATGCCCTGGAACTCCACCAGTCCTGAGCACCGGGCTTGTCGTCGGGCCTGTCGTCGGGCTGGTCGGCGTGCTGGGCCGTGTCTTGACGGTTGCCTCCTGACCCTGCCGCGCCTGAGCTCGCTGGAGCTTCCGCGGGTGGGTCTGGAGGCTTGTCGCCCTCTGGGCTGGTCTCCACGAACGTTCCATGACCTGATTGCCAAGGGTCAAAACCGTGAAACCACGGATCTAACGTACCTGAATATGATCTTCCCCAGGTGGTTCTGGAGCCAGGTGCCCTGAGAGTGCCAGACGTCCTGCAGGGTGCCCTGGAGCGGAAGAGATCTGACGCCATACCTTCACGAGGATCTTCACTAACCACGCTCCGCTTACCACTGTCAGCATCGCGAGACATCGTGCGACCGATACGATGATATGTTTCAGACTCCCTCACTCGAGAGCACCTTTAATGAACATGCTGGCTAAAGCCGGAACGGCTACGTACAGAAACAAACTATACAATGTCTGTCACATAGCTGGCAACAAGCGCACACGACTTGGGGGGGAGTGGGCAAGGAGAGACAGTATGGGGCCACAGAACGTGTGACAGGTGTGCCGCAATGGGTCGTGCGAGCACGGGTGAACCTGCCATTGTGGCCTTCGGTGGGGCTCCCTATGGGGCCACGAAACGTGTGCGTGGTGTGCCGAGGGCCAGGCGGACACATGTGGACCCTGCCACTGGTACCTTCGGTGGAGCTCCCTATGAGGCCACGAAGCGTGTGAGGGGTATGACGCAGTGAGCCTGGGGGACGCATGTGGGCCCTGCCACTGGGGCATCCAGTGGAATTCACTATGGTGCCACGAGAGTGAGGGGTGTGCCGAATTGGAGGAGGGAGGCGGGTGGCAGCGGGGGGGAATGAAGCAGACGTGTGGCGCTGTCTCTTCAAAACGAGGACCCGACACCACAAGTCGGTTGGGAGAAAAGAAAAAAAGACCGAATGACATCCCTCTTCCTTATCCTTACCTTGCCCACCCCGTCTATCCGACACCAGGGGATGATACCGATGCTGCTACCCGGATCTCTCTTGGGGCGCGATCTGACCAGAACGTCCAAGAGGATACAGCCTTGGTGAGAAGGGCTCTCCATAGACGAGCAGGTATCTCATTCTCCTCCTCCTCCCCGCATCCTTTCCCCACCCCGGAGGTCCCCGATGTGGTGACCTCCTCTCCCTACCCCCGGAGGTCTCGACCCGTTCCCCCGGGCTGGAGTTTCGCCCCGAGTCGTTCTTGACGGTCCCGAGGCCTGGTGATAGCCCCCAAAGCCAGAAAAACGGCAACACACCGCCCGCAGGGTTCTTCGACGGCGCGAGGAGCCCTGGGCCCCGCCCTCCTCCTCCTCCTCCTCCTCCTCCTCCTCCTCCTCCTCCTCCTCCTCCCCCTCCTCCTCCTCCTCCCTCGTCTTCCCCCCCCTCGCGGCCTCAAGGTCTTCTCGGTGGCCGCCCCCAGCCCGGACCGCACCAGCATGGCGCCGCTGTCCCACTGGTCCGCGAACACCGGCGTGATGAGGGTCGGCAGCCCGGCTTCTTCCAAGCGGGGGGGGGAGGAAACAAAGGGGGGGGGGAAGAGGGCAGAGTGAGGGGGGGAGGCTGGGAGGGGGATTGGGAGGAGGGAGTCAGCAAGCCACTCCTGGGAGGTCTGCGCAGGAACGACCACGAGCCATGAAGCCCGAGGCCACACATGTAACCATAATTTACCGGCGCCGATGCTGAATTCAACCCCTCAGGAGCAGGGGGGAGGGTGGGAAGAGGACACTGAGAGCGGGGAGCTCCCCTCCGAGGTTCCATTGCTGGCGCCGCCTGCTGGCTGCAGAGCCGCGCGACCAGCAGGCAGACGCCTTTCAACTACCCCGCGGCCGAAGCCTGCTGTCAGGTCGGGCATGTCCTCCTACAGGCGGATTCTGGACGAAAAAGGAAAAATAGTAATAATAGGTTGAATTCGATGAAGAAATAACAAAAAACCGTCATCGTGCTACTATTTGAATATGTTGAACCACTCCTCCTGTAGATGGGCGTGCCCGACTTACGCCTGCTGAGGTAGAGCACGCACCACCTTCGGCGGCGCGGTGCTGTCACCTCGCCGCTGGGGCCTGGCGCCGCACGACGTGCAGACCACAAGGCAGGGAGGAGGGAGAGAGGAGCCGAGAGGGGAGGGGAAAGGACTCCCTCTCTCTCTCTCTCCCTCTCCTCGCGGCTTATTTTAGCACTTGTGGTCTTCGGTGCTGGCCTATTGTAGTACTTGCGTCGTCCTGTGTTAGCACTGCGTATTCTTAGCTCTTGTGGTCTTCCCTTTCTCTCCCCTTTCAGCTGGTTTTAGCACTAGGGAAGGTGGGGATGGTAGGAGGCATTGCCTGGGAGGTCTTCGAACGAACCACTCAGTGCTCGGAGGCCAGAGCTCATGGACCACCAAGCCAAATCAGCCCGGGTTGAGCCAAGTATGAGAGCAGGTGAAGCCGGAGTAAGCGGGATGAAACCAGATCGCAGGTGACTACCTACCAGGCCACCCCAACCCAACCCGAAGACCCGACTTTCGGGTTGGGGGGGGGGACGGGGCTTCATAAGTGTTTTCTCAAAATTCCCCGACCCCCCACCCCCGACCTGAATTGGAGGGCAAATGCGGGCCTTCGGGTTGGGTTGGGGTGGTTTGGTGGGTGGTGACAGATCGCATGGGACTATGCTGGACCTGGCCGTCTCTCGGCCACGGATATACCAGCGACGATGCTGACTCACAAACGAGGAGGAGGAGGAGGAGGAGGGAGGAGGAGGAGGAGGAGGAGGAGGAGGAGGAACTGCATGTGATGAGGTGGGGCGGGGCGAGGCGCCGGCGTGCGTCCCGACCGGGGGGGGGGGCGGCCCTGCCGGGGCGCGGCGTGCGGGCCGGGTCCCGGTCAGGCGTGGATGGGATCGGTCCAGGAAGCATCAGATGTCTCTTCCAAGGCAGCACATCGTGGTCGATTTCTTATGGCAACTCGTGGCCACTGCTTGCACGTGTTCCACTCGTCGTCGTCGTCGCTGCTGTGCGCACCGTCGGAGTGGTGGACTGCGCAAGCGCCGGCAAGACGACATCACAATCTCGCCATCGCTCGGACGTCCATTCCCTGTGTTTGTGTTGCGGTTTCGTGCGTGGTTGTTTCGCCAGATGATCAAGGATGCTCCTCGATGGTCCTCGCCGGAGGAAACGTGCACACGCCCCAACGATGCCAAGCAATATTGCTGCGCGCACAACACACACTGTGAGGGGGGGGAGACGTTGTTGGACATGGCGGGGTCCCGCACAGCGGACAGAGAGGATGGGACACCTTTTGCGTTGCACACAATACCCCTTTGTGCCAACACGTCTACGGAAGATACGCTTAGCACCACACGCTGGTTTAGTGAGAGGCACCTGGACCGATCGGAGCACCTATATCACAGCACCCCCGACTTTGTGTCGGCCCAGGCATCTGGCGACTCGCTTCTCGGGAACCGAGAGCGAGGGAAGAGAGAGAAAGAGGCGGAGAGAGAGAGAGAGAGAGAGAGAGAGAACATTCTGGCGACACCGCGACTGAGGCCCCCAGTGCGAAAACCCATGCCCAAGTCAGTCGGGAGCTCTAACGCACGCCGCCGTCCTCACTCCTGGTCCCCGGCCGTCCCCTCCTCCTGCCTTTCCTCGCCCTCCTCTAATCTCCTCCTGCTGAATCCTCGGCTCCTGCTCTTGGCCACCTTGCCGGTGGCTCGTGCCTCCAGCTCTGAGCCCGGATCTCGGAGATGGAGCCGTCCTGTTCTGAGAAGATGGGCCAGTGCAGCGTTTCCTTTGCTCACGTCGAGTTTCGTGAGAGGGTCCGAGGGATTGAAGGGATGGGGCACCCACCGTACCACTGATCCGTCCTGCTGAAGTGCGTCTCGAAGAATCGATAGGTCGATCGCCGCCCTCCTGTCCTCCTTCCGCCCTGCCGTACACTTCGCGAGCGAGTCGAAAACGGACTTGGCGTCGACGATCCTCACTCTTCCTCCTCCTTGGCTGGCTGGTCTGAGCACTGACTCCTCCTTCAACAGGCACACTGTCTGCCCTGCACCTGCTGTCCTGTCCAGCGATGGTCTGATGCCGAAAGCTGCTTCGCGGAACATGGCCGACAGCCATTCCGTCTCTCCTACGCACTGCGACAACGCCATGGTCTCTGCGGCCAGCGATTTTGAGTCTGGACGACCTCCAAGATAGAACGGACACTCGTCCCGGCTCGCCCCTGGCAACACACTTGTCCCCGATGCCTGCCACCCACGCTCCCTGGACTGAGCCGGACTCGTCTGTGCCGATGCCGCCTGCGTCACTGGCGGTGATCATGACTGCGGTTCTGAGGTCGTGCTTCCAGAAGGTCAGGTGTTGGGATGCGGTGGCTCTCAGCATCGTGGAGGCTTTGTTGGCCATGGCTATGTCGTCTAGTGTCGCTCTGGGAAGCCGCCCCGCCAACGTGGATGCTACTCCCGACACTTCGGGTCGAGTCTCTTTCCCCACCCAGTTCAGACGGTAGATGAGGGAGCGGAGCTGAGCAAACTCGTCGGGGCGCAGCTGGGGGCCTCCGTCTTTCCTTCCTCTGGGGAGGTGGATGGGGAAGACCTCCTCTAATATGTATTTCTCCTGATCTATCAGCACCCTGTCCCTCAGACCCCTCACCCTCCTGCCCGCGAACTCTGTGTCTGCACCCTTCCACTTGCCGAAGGTGTAGGCTGCTGTGAGGATTTCCTTGACATGTCCTCTTATCCAGGGTGCGGATGCGATCCAGAGGTCGTCTACTTCTATTAGGATCTGGGACACGAGCACGCCATCTTTCCTCAGGACCCAGTAGCGCGGATCTAGCAGCAGCTTGTGGTACCCGGCCTCTGACAATGTGGATGTCAGTGTCTTGGACCACTCTAGTGGCGCGTCGTCTAGGCCGTACACGGCTACTTCCAGCTCGATGAGGCACCCTTCTTCCACGAACGCCCCTCTGACACCCTCGCGCGGCTCTGCGTACAGGGGCCCGTTGGCCCTCTGCAGCTTCCTGCTCTGCGTGAATGCGCTCTTGGCGTCAGCCACATCTTGCTCGAGATCCAAGGATGCCATGACGAGTGCGAACAGGTTCATGGACTCTGTCTGGGGCGTGGGCGAGTAGGTGCTCATGGTGCCAGTGTCGGGGTCAACATGGCCGTGCACGCACCACCTGCTCTTGGCCGTGCGTGCGGTGTGCAGCCCCTCCTGTACCTTCCACCTCCTCACCATGCGAGAGGAGAGGACCCGTTCGGGCCTGGGCCTCCGCACTTGCTCGGAGGCCTCCCGGGAGAGTATCCGGAGGACACCTGGCCTGGCCACTGAGCGCCATTCGGCGGCGTCAGCTGCTTGGAACTGGCCAAGCTCTCCCAGATCAAGATCTTTGAGGGAGACTTCACCTCCTCGAGAGGACGCCAAGACCCATTCTCCTGTGGCCTCGCCGTCGTCGCACGCTGCATGGAAGTCGGCATTCCCGTCGAGAAAGTCTCCGTGGGTGCCACTCCAGCCGGCCTCTGAGAACCACTGTCCGAAAGCTTCACAGTATCCTGAGAGCAAACCGTCCTCGTCCATCGCCCTCGAAGCCTCGTCCTCTGCTGCGACTGTGGCTGCTGTGCTGCCTGCTGCTGGCTGCTGCTGGGTCTGCTGTGGCTGACTCCTCTGTCCTGCCCACCGCTCGTACTCCTGGACCTGCTCTCTGACCCTCCCAGCGATGCCGGGCAGTAGCTCGCTCGGCGTGGGGGGCCCCGCCCGAGCCAGCTCCGCCGGAGACAGCGGCGCGCCTGTCCCTCCTCGCAGCTGTTCTGGAGATAGTCGAAGGTGACAGGTATCGAATCTCCTCCTGCCTCGTCCGCCCTTGCTCTCTTGGACCGCTCCTCACTGTCCTCGGATGCTCTGCTAACCTGGCGGACACTGCTCAGCGGGGATGTGGGAGGCATGACGGAGGGTTCGGAGGCGGTGGTCTGATCACGTGACTCGCCAATCGGCACTCGGACTCGACGGGTCTCTGGCCCCGGAGCCCACACCTCTACCCACCTCTGAGCGGGAGGTGGAGGGACTGCGGCTGAGGATCCGCTCGCACTGGGGGGAGGCCGCTGCTGCTGCTGCTGCTCTCTCGGCGGGCGACGCGGGGAGGGGGGCGGGATCGCCATCGTCCTGCTCCTGGCGGTCGACGGGCTCCCGTGGGGCCTCGGACCTGGCGTCCTCCGCAGTCCTGCCTGCGGACCCTCCTCCCTCTCCTCCTCCTCCTTCTGCCTTCTCCTGTGCTGTCTGCCCGCTCGCCCTCTCCTCCTGCTCCGCTGCTGGTGGCTGCTCCTGCTGTGTCCGGGCGTCGTCCATGGGAACTGGGGGAAGGTCCCAAGCGCCCTCTGGAGGAAAACCCTCTCGGGCCACATCGACTGCGGATCTGGCTGTGCCGTCTTCTCCGAACTTGCCCCAGAGAGATCGAAGGGCCTCGTGCTGCATCAGTTCTGCTCCTAGGTCCACCTCCTGGGTTGCGGGCCTTAGCTGTTCTGTGGCACACTTCCACAGGCGAGAGCGGACTGCGACCCACGTCGCGGTGCCATTCTGACACGCGACAGCTCCAGGCCCGACCCAGCGGTCCCGCTGCAACGAGTATGGCTTGCGGGACCGAGTCGCGGCCTTGCGCCACACGCACGCCCACTGGCCTGGGAGGAACACGCGGTCACGATGGGGAGCGGACTTCTGAGCTGTGTTCACCTTCTCTCTCGCGTCCCCTTGAATGGCCCACCTCTTGGCTGCTGCTCTGATCTCCTGCCTCCTCCTGAAGACTGCCGCTGCTGCGTCCACCTCCATCGCCCCCTCCTGCATATCCTCTAGTCCTACACGATGGAGGGGGTCGTCGCTGAGAAGTTCGTGCGGCAGCCGAGGGTTTTGTCCGAAGACCAGCTGCAGTGGGCTGTAGCCTCCTCTGTGGAAGAATCTGTTTTTCCAGGCCACCAGCTCACATGCTGCAGTCTCTACCTCCAGGACCGTGGTGGGCACACACACTCCTCAATAAGCTTGGCCAGTCGGTCCTTGGCCCACTGACCATGACGTTCGGTCCGGCAGTTCTGCCTGGGCGCCTCGGCGTCCGTGACCTTGTGGAATGCGCCACTCTGTTCCAGATGTCGGGCGAAGGCCTGATCGAACTCCCCCCCTCCATCCGCGATGAGTACCTCTGGCGGACCGTAGTGGCGCAGCCAGCCCCGGGCATACGTGCTCCATATATCGAAGGACGCCGTGCACTGCCCCTCTCCCACTAGGCCGACCCACTGCAAGTTCGTGCCGTGGCGCACTATGTTGAGGAATGTGAACTCCTTGCCACCGTAGGTGACAAAGAATAGATCGGCTCCAGCAATTCTGTTGAAGGCGTATGCGCGGGGAATGGCTGCTCGTCTCCTCTGCACTGCGCGCGAGCTGGCCTCGCACCGAGGGCATCGATACTCATGCTTGAGATAGTGCAGTACTTCTGGCTTGGCATGTGCGTTCCCGAGGATGCGAATCATTTCTTCTCGACGAGGGTGCCCGAGATTGACGTGCACTCGATCTATCATCCTCTTCTGGGCCTCGGTCAAGACTCCTTTCTCTCTCATCAGGCCCGGCCCGTGCTGCTCGCTCCTCCTCCTCTCTGCCGCTCTGGCTGCCTCTGCTGCTGCTACCTCTGCCAGGGGGTCCCCCACTGCCTCCTCCTCCTCCTCCTCCTCTGCCTCTGCTGCTGGAAAGGAGGGTGAGGCTGAGACTGCGCAAGTCCACGATCGCTGTGCTGCCCTGGCCAGGGCCGAGCACGGCCTGGGAGGGTATACGGCTGCTTTCCTCGTCATGGTGCCCCCCTCCAGGACCGCGTGCTCGTGTGACTTCGTGCAGCGCCTGCCTTGCATAGCCTCGAGCACGCGCGGATCGTTTGCGATGATCCGCGTGGGCCTGAGGGACAGCCGATCGGACGCGTGCACTGTCAGGCCGAAAGCGCACACGTCGAAGTCGATTGTGGACACTCCTCTGATCCGAGCGAGAAACCCCATGGCCTCGAGCTTCCAGGACCTGGCACCTCTGGGCTGCTCCAGGAAGAACCTGCGACCTGCCTCGACCTGCATCACTGCTACCTCGATCGCGAACCCCATCAACACGAGTGCCTCGGCCCTCTTCCTCCTCAGCTCCTCCTCCTCCTGTCTACTCTCGTTGACATAGCTCAGGTTGGAGAACTGAGTGCAGGGAGGGGACATGTCTATCAGCCAAGGTTCGCGCTCCCCGAGTTCTCGCCTCAACCTTTTCCTATCCTCTGCCTTCCTGAAATCCCATCCTGTGGACAGGTCCCAGGAGACGCACGATGTCCTCGCGCCTCCTTTCCTCATGATCTTATCCACGACTGGAGCGACTCGAGGGGAACTGAACAACTCGGCATACGGGCACTGGGTGGTGAGGGCTGAAACCTGATCCTGGCCTCCTCCTCCTCCTCCTCCTCCTCCTCCTCCTGGGCGGCCGCCGGAGCTTGCTCGGGCTGCTGCGGCAAACGCCAGTGCTCTCGCCTGGCTCCTCACTCCTCGGGGCACCGTGACCTCACGATCGTCGCTGTGCTCGGAACCTTCGAGGAACGAGACCAGGTTGTCGTTTTCCAGGGCTATGGCTACCGGGATATCGAGGTCGGCTCGCTGCGCTCCTCGTCCTCCTCCTCCTCCTCTGCCTGTGCTGCCGCCACCTGCCTCCTCCTCCTCAATTCCTCGCATCGCGTCGGCGATCACGAAGGCGGGACTCGTGGAGGATCGGGAGCTGCGGCATGCCACGAGAGAGGTGTGCCATTTCGCCCGGATCACAGAGCTGACTGGGTGCCAGCCGTTGTCGTTCTTCAGCCACATGCTGAACGCTCTGCTGATTCGCTGAGCGTTGGGGGGCCTCCTCCACGCCAGGGCGCGGGAGGACCCGGTCAGCACCACGCTGGCCTGGCTGCTGAACTGCTGCGCTTCGGCGCCCGTCAATGCACGGAGCCTCAGATCTGCTCGGGCCTCGGGATCACCTCTGGGTCCTCCTCGCCGATCTGTTCCCAGCCCACAGGGTTCTCCGCCTCCACAGGCACCGGTACCGAGGCCGCGGGCGGCTGCATCATGTGAACCGTCGCCGCCAGCTGGTATATGGCCTGGTGCTGCTGCTGCACGGCCTGGCCCAGCGGCTGCACCGCCTGCGCGATCATCCGGTTCATCGTCTCCTGCTGCTGCTGCAGCGCCCCTGCCATGGGCTGCACCGCGTCGGCCACCATCTGCCGCAGCATGCCCTCGGTGAGACGAGGCTCTGGACGAGGAGGACGCACCTGAGCTTCGAGTGGACCCCCGTAGATGACACATGCTCCTGGGCTCGAGTCCATGTCGATCTCGTTCTTCACCTTGCTCTCTGCCTTGTAGATCATGCTCTTCTTGATATTGGCCGGCGCGCTCTTCGGGTTGAGTCCTGCACTGCGCGCCTCGTACAGCAGCCTCATGCCGCACTGCTTGCACTTGGTGTGCGTGGCCGTCCCGTTGCCGCCGCTCTCCCAGGAAGACTTCAGGCCCCCTCCGTCCCAGGTCAGCCTGGGATGCATGCAGGACGTCCACCGCTGGACAAGCTCCCTGTTCTTGTATTTCCCTACGAACAGGTGTCCTGCAATGGCGATCTGGAGGCATGCCTTCTGGATCTTGCGGAGCTGCTGCACGCTCATTTGCACCAATGAGCCCCACATATGCACCCTCTCGTCGCTCTTCCGGGCAGCTACATGCGCATCCACCGTCATGTCGGACGCTCTCGGGTTCAAGGTTCTGGCAGGTGGAGGGAGACAAGGATATCACGACACCAGATGGCTTGAGCTCCAGAAGCAACGGAGAGCTCCAGGGATCACCTTCTGGCTGGACTGGCGTGCGTTCTGACGCCTCTCCTCTGTTCTCCTTCTACTCCTCTACCTCCTCGGCCTCCTCTACCTCCTCGACCTCCTCTAGCCCTGGTCCTAGGTCCTGGTGAAAGGCGGGAGGGGAGGATGGAGACGCGTATCCCCTCGCAGCCGCGCTCTGGGCCCGGATGGCCCGATACTCCTGCTCGGCCGGCCCGAGCTGCAGCGCCTGCTCAGTGCTCGCAAACTCGACCGGCAAGGGCGCCTGGGTCGAGAACACGTCAGCGCCCAAAAAAAAAACCCTGTCCTGCGTGCTCATCGGGGCGGAAAACCCCTTCATGCAGTGGGCGGACACCAGAGGAATACCTCGATGCTCGCCGTAGGTGGTCATCTTGACCGGGTCGCTGCTCAGGGACTGGAACTTGATCTCCTCGTTCACGTAGCTGATCTCTGCCCCGAGGGCCTTCAGCAAACCCCCGGGGAGCAGCGGGGGGATGTCCTCTGCCACGACCACGAACTCGATCACGCCTCGGGACCCTGCGAGCGCGGTCGGCACGAGCACCGCGCCGACAAGGGTGGCGCGCCCTCCGATCCCGGTCGGAGCTGGGACCTGGCGCGGCACCCGCGCCGCCCTGAGGCCGAGCCCGAGGAGGTACTGCTCCAGCTGGCACAGAGACGGCATACCCATGACGGCCTGCGCTGCAGCGCTGTCCACCAACGCCGCCCCCGCCTTCACGGACAGGAGCGCCAGCCAGCACGGGTAGCTCGACAGTCCGGCGCCGTCCTCGCCATAGTGGAACATGGTGACCTTCTTGGTGCTGTTCTCGCGGGGCTTGCACGGGTTGCGGCACTCCTTCTTCCAGTGCCCCTTCTCCCCGCAGTTCGCACACTTCGTGATGAGCTTCAGCTTCTCCACCCACAGCCTCTCTCGTCGACGGGGTCGACCTCCCTCTCGCTTCGGGTCGGTCTTCGAGTCGAAGAACTGTGGGTCCTTCTTCATGGCGGCCTTCAGCATCTTGTTCTCGCGGAAGGTCTTCTTCTTCTGGATGGCTGCCTCTAAGAATACCTCGAGCTGGTCCTCGTCGATGCAGGCGTCCTCCACCTCCAGGTAGATCTCCTGCTCCTCGTCAGAGTCGAACCCGTCGTCGTCGTCCTCCATGGTGGCTGCGGTCAGGAGCCCCCCCTCGTGTTCCGTCGCGTAGTGCGTCCGCGATCGAGCAGAAGGACCGACGATCCTCTCCGATGATGTGGTGTCCAGCTGCCTCAGCGCGTGAGAGATCCTGTCGACCTCGAGGGATGCCTGCGTCATGGACCGCAGGGACAGCATCCCGGCCTCAGGTAGTGCACTGCCCTCCTCCATCAGCATACCTTTGAGTTTGCTGGGCAACACTATTCCATGGCGCTCGGCAGCCGCAAACTGCCTGGCACGTCGCTCTACAAACTGTGTGAGTGTCTTGTGACGTTCGTACTCAAACACCGACTCTCTCAAGGCTCGTCGTTCTTCATCGCCTTCCTTCTCTCCCACCAGCGCCGCCATCCGGGCCAGTAGGTTGTTCAGGCCCTCGTCGCACACCAGGTCGCTCGACTGGAAGTGACCCAGCGAGTCCTTGAGCTCCCACTGCATGTTCTTGAGCACCCTGTCGGCGTGCTTCCTAGCAGGAATGTCGGCGCAGTCGGCCCATCTTCTCAGTTCGTCTCTCCACGACCGGAACCTGTCCCAGCCCGGAAACTCGGGCGGATCCGAAAAGTCGCCCCTGATCAGACGCGTGTCCGTCTTGATGTAGTTCTCCCACGAGCTCCATCGATCCTCGTGCCAGTCCTGTCTCGACCAGCTCTGATCTCTAGTAACTTCCCATCTCCATGGATGCCGTGAGCGGTCCCATGGATCGCTCTCTCTGTTTTGACCGTCCTTTTGTCGGTCGTCGAATTCAACTGGCGACCTTCGCGGATAGTCTCCCTGAGCCTGTTCCCTCAACACCTCGAACTGCTGTCTGAGAATGCTGCCGAGCTCTGTTGCTATCTGCTGTGCCGCCTGCGTCACTGCTGCTGCTGCGGGTTCGCTTGAGCCCGATGATGCAGTCTGGAAAAACTGGTGGTGTGCGTTCCCGCGTGCAGTGTCCTGCTGTCTCTCTGTCGCCGCCTCATCCCCACCTTCTGCGGGCATGGCCGCAGTCTCGGATCGTCTGGCTTTGTCAGCGCGCCGTCACAGCGCACCGCGTACTAGCCCCACGGTTCCGCGCTACCAACTGTTGGACATGGCGGGGTCCCGCACAGCGGACAGAGAGGATGGGACATCTTTTGCGTTGCACACAATACCCCTTTGTGCCAACACGTCTACGGAAGATACGCTTAGCACCACACGCTGGCTTAGTGAGACGCACCTGGACCGATCGGAGCACCTATATCACAGACGTGGGGTGAGCGCCAGGGGCAAGGAGTCGGCGGCGAGCGAGGGGGGGAATGTGAAGGGGCGGGCCTTCTCAGAAGGCTCGGGAGGGGAGGGTGAATGGGGGGGGGAGGAGGGCGGGAGGAGGGGGGGAGGGGGCAGGAGAAGGAGGACGAGGGAGGAGGAGGAGGAGGGGGGAGAGGAGGAGGGGAGGAAAAGGAGGAGGAGGAAGAGGAGGAGGAGGAGGAGGAGGAAGGAGGAGGAGGAGGAGGAGGAGGAGGAGGAGGAGGAGGAGGGAGGAGGAGGAGGAGGAGGAGGGGGGGGGAGGAGGAGGAATCCCCAGGCCTTCCGAGGCTTCCTGCGCCTTCCCCGAAGGCACCGAGAAGGCTTCGCGGGAGGCGACCGAGGGCTGCCGAGAAGCCCCGCCGCCTGCTGAGCAGGCCTTCTCCTTCTCGCTGCCCCCCCACCCCCCCGCTCGCCGCCGAGGGGGGGACCGAACGCCAGGGGAGGACGGACTCAGAAGGGAGCAAAAAGGCATCCGCCCGACGTCGGCGATCCATCGCCGATGGATCGGCGAAGGATCGCCGAGAGGGGAGCCGCGCGCTCCCGGGCGGCGCGAGGCCATCGGGCCGCCGTTGGCGACCAACGGTCGGGGTTCGACGCGTCCCCCCCCCCCCTCCGAGCCTGTGCCCACCCAGCGCGGCTGCCCGCTCTCGCAGGGTCGAGCAGCTGCTGCGCTTGGAGGCCTGTAGTGCCCGAGGGGCCTCCGAGGGAGTCATCCATAGCAGAAGTTCTGGAGGGGTGGCCTGCTTGCGAGCGACAGCTGCGCCACTGCCTGCGCCCGAAGCCTCGGGCTCGCGCCCGCACGGGTGGCGCTGCGCGGCGCCATCAGAACACGGTCATGCGCCACGAGGGGCGCGAGTGGGACGAGGCGGGAGGAAAGCCGATCCTGATCCCTCACACTCACTCTGTATCCTGATTCCTTGCTGCAGGCCTCGTCAAACATATCCAGACATGGAAGTTGAAATCCCGGAGCACGATGCTTTCAGGCACTTAGTCAGAAAGCCCGGTCTTCAATGCTGAGAAGGTGGGGTCGATTGTTTGACAACACCGCGTCCGAGTCAACAGGCATCCGTCAGCATTGGAGTAGCGCTGACCCCACAATCACCGAATTCAGAGGTCTTCTGCTGATCTTTGACGCGGCTTGTAGTATATACCTATACGACCACCCTTCGGACGCTAAAGAGGTTGTGGGGGAAACAACTTGTGGCAACCGCGACGATTGTGATGGTGACGATACGAGTAAATGCGCTCACGAGTCGGCGACGATGCGTGATGACGACGCTGCTGAGACCACTGGGGCACCACTGGGGCAACATCGGGACACCATCGCGACACCATCGAAACACCATCGGACGGAGCACCTGAAGACCCTGGTGAGGCAAGTCAATGACACCATCGCGACCCACCATCTATATACCAGTCTCACTACCCATGGGTCTCACTACCCACCGCGCAATCGACCCTACGACCTGCGTAGCGATCTCACTTTCGATCTCGCAGTGTATTCCACGACCGACAAGTCAGTGTCACTATCAAGCGTTGATTGCGCCACCACAGCCATCGCGAGCAAACACATGCCACCTCCACGGCGGGAAGTTGCATTTATTTGACCCCGATCCCTGTGCCCGAGAGCGAGTGCTCGAGCCAGACGGATCGGATGATGGTGCTGGTGGTGAAGGCCCTGCCGGGTCACCGGCAAAGGGTAGCGGGGTCGCACGGGCAAGCTGTGCCGCTTTGGCCCAGTCGCGCCACGGCCGAGTCTGGAGCGCACGTGCGGCGCGCACCTCGTCTCCGCCGCGCTCCTCGGGCATCTCACCGCGCGGAGGGAAGCTGACTTAATGTTATGCTGCTCCCATCGTGATGAAAGGACCGCATCCCAGAAATAATCTCGAGCACCCAGAAAAAAAGAGCCGAAAGAGAGTCGAAGCAGTGTCGACGAGTGTCTACCAGAGCCCGACACGTGAAAGCCCTCGAGTTTTTTGGGGAGGAGGAGGAGAAGGAGGAGGAGGGGGAGGGGGAGGAGGAGGAGGGGGAGGAGGAGGAGGAGGAGGAGGAGGAGGAGGAGGAGGAGGAGGAGAGGAGGAGGAGGAGGAGGAGGAGGAGGAGGAGGAGGGAGGAGGAGGAGGAGAGGAGGAGGAGGAGGAGGAGGAGGAGGAGGAGGAGGAGGAGGAGGAGGAGGAGGAGGAGGAGGAGGAGGAGGAGGAGAGGAGGACGAGGTAAGTTGGAACATCATAAACGAAATGGTGCTCTCGCTCTGGCGCCGAGCAGGTGCCGTCTGCGAGCGGCGCTCGCGTCTCCGTGCGCAGACCGTGCTCGCGCCTCCCTCGGATAGGCGGGGCCCCGCGCGCGAGCGCGCTCCGTTCACGCCGCCGCTCCCGTGCGCCTCGTCTGCCCCCGCCCTCGCCGCCATCCTTTTGCTGCATGCGCTGGCCCGCACCGAACGCTCTCAACGATGGGCCTGTGTTCCACCACCACCACCACAAATTGGAGGGGGAGGGGGTCTTCCTCCTCCTCCTCCTCCTCCTCCTCCTCCTCCTCCTCCTCCTCCTCCTCCTCCTCCTTCCCCCCTCCAGCCCCTCCAGCTTATGGTGGTGCTGGTGGACAACAGGCCCATCACTCAGGCTTGGGAGCCTGAACACAAGGGAACCAAGAAAATGGAAAGAGAGAGAGAGAGAGAAGGCAAAACCGGGAGAGAGGCGGGCGCCAGTTCCGAGGAGCACGAACCTTTCAAAAAGCAGGCGCGGTTCTGGTGACTCGATGGTCTGGTGACTGGATGGACTGGCGGAGAGCTTCTAATATGTTGGAGACCTGTGGTCGAGTGCAAGTGCTGGAGAACCGACTGTGCGATGATGCCAAGTCGATCTTGCGACGATGCACATGGCCATGACCGTCATCAGGTACGGATGGCCCGAAGGACGGAGAGGTCCGTGGAGCAGGCGAAATCAACTCGAGCTGGCACGCCCAGCGCGAGGAGAGGACAGAAGCGCCCTGCCTAGTGAAGCGTGCAGGGTGCCAATACCTCCATGATGCAGCGCGCAAATGCACTTCGGAAACAACCACTCGTGGGATACGGCCTCCCAGCCACTTGCTGCGTGCTGTCTCCCATAATGTGTTGCATATACTTTCTGCTCTGACGAAGCTTGTTGGACATGGTATCGGCTCTCTTGCTCATGACTTCATGCATCATGATTGCTACTTGAGCGAGTGTAGTGCACCATCTCTTGGACTCACCTCTCCCCTCGTGACTATACCCACATGGAGAGAGGACCCCTCAAACATCGCGCGATCGGGACGTCGAAAGACGATCATATCAAGGACACGCAGAACGTGTCATTCAACTGCACGGCGTCGGTCGATACATCGTCGGCCACGAGTGCCTCTTCATCAGGGCGGGGATCGCTCTGCCATCTTTGGCCAGATCCCCGCGTCCCAATGATCGGGTGTTCGTTACTGACGGGGGCGGGTCAATAACTTCGCGGCGCGCACAAGGGGGTGGATGGAGGGGGAGGGCTTCTTAGAAGGAGGCTGCTTCTTAGAAGGCGCCGGCCTTACATCTATAAATATGGCCCGCGCCTTCTAAGAAGCAAGGGTGCTTCTAAGAAGCCCCCCCCCCCCCCAGCCCCCACCCCCCTCTGCGCGTGGCTGACTAACCGTGGTGAGAAGAGGCGTGCACCTCTCGTGCAAACCTCTGGGCCCGCGGTTGCAAGCCTCTGAGGGCCACTTCCCTGCAAGCCTCGACCCCCAACCCCTCTTCTGTCGTCCCTCCTATCTCGAAATGCCGACTTGACTCGCTCCCGTCCCCCTCCGACACAAATAAAACATTGCCGGCGCAATACGATCGCAGCTCTTCCTCATCTGGAGAGCCCACCAGACTCTCGACGGTCATCTCCGCCCAGCCAGACACGATGATGCCGCGCAGGCCCGCCTCATGACCATTGCACGTCATGGACAGCATAGGCTTGGCGTAACACTTCCGAGAAGAGACGCCACAATGACAGTGCATCGATCCTGGTGCTGGGCAGAAGCGTGTCTGATAGTCTGACAGCGAAGCTTTCTGCGCACTGCACGAATACGCCATCGCCTGCACACCATCCATGGCAAAATGACTGCTTACACGGTTACGCTCAATGACGACATGGGCGTAATGGAATAAAGGGGCTGGAACACACGCGGAGGACATCGCTTGCATAGCATGCTCTCGGCAACTGGGCATATGAATCATCACGTGCAAATTAGCGGCGACGTGAAGACGGAACACGAGATGGACGAGCTTCGCTGTTAGCAACACGGGCTGTTAATTGCGGCACATACAAAGTAAAGAACCAACGGATACGGAATGTTCCCCAAGCTGGCTGATAATTGTACTCATTCCTCCGCTTCCTGGCACCCGTTACCACGAAATTCAGGAGCGCCCCAAGGGAGCTCCAACAGGGCCCGACGGCTGAGCGACACGAGTGGGACGCCCCAAGATGGCCCGAAGACGGTCTCCTGAGAGCCTCAGGATAACCCAAAGATGGTCCCAGACGGCAAGCCAGCGAACCAGCCAATTTGCCAAACTGCTCACCGTCCGACAAGCCAGCCGATAAACCAGCCAGCCAACCAGCCATCCAACTGATCGGGGAACTGTCTGGACGGGGGCGCTCACAGTGGTAGCGGTGGCGCCGCAAGCACCGCTCAACGTGGAACTCGATCTGTTGCCGTGCGAACTCTGAGCAGTACGATCCAACGGAATTGCGGCATATGCCAGCCCAAAGTCAAAACAATGGAGCCGCGAACGCGTGTCGCAGCAGCGCTCGAACAAGAGAAGTTCAATGACCTCCCCGACCCCGAGATTTGGTGGGCCTTCATGAGGGCGTCAGTGGGCCTCGCGTCCCGATCATAAACGTGGTTTCGACAAGATGTCGTCAGATTTCGACCACCCCTCTTCACCCTTTCGTCCAGGCCTCGTCTAGAGGTCGTCCAGATTCCGTCCAAGCGTCGACCAATTCCGACGAAATGCGTGAGACCGCAAGGAATGTGAGGACCCTCTGAGGCGATCAGGAACGACCACACAACGTCGTGTATCTACGCTCTGCGCCAGACCCCTCCCTGGAGCGCGGAGCGAGCCAGGGGCGGCGCTGGAGGTGCCGCCAGGGGGCTCCAACACCGATCCGAGAAATCGTCGAGGAACGCTGGACATTTATGATCATGCAATTCTACCATCTCGAGCAGGATCGACCCACGAACCCGGAAAGGAATTTGGAAACCCACAGCATGGCTACGTCTTCAGAACGCATGATTGGGCGACAGGCAATTGCAATGCTGGAGGCATCGGTAGTGATGTACCGTGCCAAAGATTGTGCTCTCTGTTGTGCCTGCTAAAATGAGCGGTGTCGTGCCGTAATGAGTTGCGTTGTGTTCTATAGCGCTGTGGATCAAGTCGCCCTTGGCATCCGAATCCTGACCAAACTGATCTGGATCTTGAGCTCGAGCTGCCTAAACGCAACGCTGGCCCAGAACTGGTTGCAGTCGAAACGCCTGTAACGCTCAATCAGCTCGAACTCAAGATCCAACTCGGTTCCGAAGCGGGACGAGACGACACGGGGCGAAGGGCGCATGGACGCGCCGAGGAATACGCCAGGGGCACACAAGGGGATCCGCCAAGGGACGTGTCGGGGTGCGTGGCAAGGGACGCGCCGCGGAACGGGGAGGGACAGCGCCATGGGGCAAGCCATGGAACGCGACAGAGGACGAGCCAGGGGACGCACGGAGGAGGGAGGAGCATACGCCGTCCCGCCCTTTGGCGTTAACACCAGAAAATGTTAGAACCACCCTGGGTGGCCTGGACACGAGAACACGCAAGGTTCCAGCTCGGGACCACCATGTCAGACACCGCCCTGGGCGGCCTGGACACGTACAAACGCGCGGTCCAGCTCGAGACCACCATGTTAGAAATCCACTTTGGTGGCCCGGACATGTGAACACACGTGGTTCCAGCTCGGGGCCACGAT